ATCACCAAGAATCATGGCCACATCGCACACTCCTCAGATCAGGGACATCTGAATGCATCCATTTTTTAAATAATATTTTAAGTAAACTGCGTATTAAAGTATGCTTCAATGAAGAAAAAAAAATTGAGGTTTTCCAAAAGCAGACTCACCCCAGAATTACTACTCGGATGAAAAATGAATGCCCCTTCTGTCCTTCCCTTATAACTCCACTAAAGGTGACCACTAACCTAATTTCTAGCACCCCAGTTTAGTTTTGCCCATTTTTGAACTTAAAAAAAAAAAAAGAGTCACATAGCACTTACTCCGCTGTGTCGACCTTCTTTTTGCTCAGCTTTGTGTGTGTGAGGCTCACCCCTGTTGCGTGAGAAGCATCATTGATTGATTCCCATTACTGTGGAGTATTGCATTCCACTGTGTAAACAATTTATTTGTGCCTCTGTCCATTTTACTACTGATGAACACGAAGGCTGTTTCCCACTTGGAGTTATTAGGAATAACACTGCATATTCTTTTATATGTCTTTTGGTACAAACATATACACACCTTACTGTTTAGTGTTTATGAATGGAGTAGCTGGATCATAGGGGATGTGTGTGTCTAGCTTTTGTAAATGAGACTGCAAAACAATTTCCAGAACAGTTATACTAATTTTCACACCTGTAAGCAATTTATGAGAGTTCCCAGTTTGTCCATACCCTAACCAGTACTTAGTAATAACAGTTTTTGTTTTGGTCTAGTTTTTTTAGGCGCACTGGTGAGTACAGAGCGATAGCCCATTGTAGTTATAATTTGCATTTCCCTAATTATTAATGAGGTTGACTACTTTTTCATACATTTATTGGGAACTGGGAACACTCTTTTGTGAAGTGACCTGCCCATTTTTCTACTGGCTGTCTATCGTTCTCTTAATGATTTGTAAAAGCTGTTTCTACATTCTGAGTATGAGTCCTTTACTGGATATAAGTAGTACAAATACCTTCGCCCAATCTGTAGCGCGCCTTTTCACTCTTTATGGAATCTTTAGATGAAGAGAAGTTCGTAACAATATTCTCCTTTATAATTAGTGCTTTTTGTGTCCTATTCAATAAACCTTTGACTGCACTTAGGTCGTAAAGGTGTTTTACTTTGCTTTCTTCCAGAAGCTTTCTTGTTTCAGATTTTACATTTAGACGTATGATGTATCTTGATTAATTTTTGCATAAGAAGTAAGGTGGATGATCAAACTTCATTTTGTTCATATGGATATCCAATTGGCCCAGCGTCATTTACTGAAAAAGCTCTCCTTTCTCCAGAGCACAGAGGTGTCATTTCTGTCATAAATCAAGAGACCACAGAGGTGTGAGTCTGTTTATGGATTCTCTACTCAGTTCCATCCTCCACTGTTGCCAATCTCACGCTGACATACTACACACTGATCTAGTATCTTAAGTCGTCCAATTTTACTCTTAGATTGTCTAGAATTTTCAAATAATTTTTTATTGAACTACTGTTACTGTTAATTTACAATGTTGTGTTACTTTCTGGTATTCAGCATAGTGATTCAGTTGTACATTTATAATACTCTTTCATATTATTTTTCATTATAGGTTATTACAAGATATTGAATATAGTTCCCTGTGCTATACAGTAGGACCTTGTTGTTTATCTATCTTATATACAATAGTTTGTATCTACAAACCCCAAATTCCTAATTTATCCCTTCCTCTTTCCCCTCAAATAAATTTTAAAATTGGCTTATCAACTTTTTTTTTTTAAAAAGTCTGCTGGGATTTTTATTGCAATTATACTGAATCTACAGATTTATCTGTGGAGCAATGGCTCACCCTCCATTACTTAAAATCTTTAAATTCCTTCAATAATATTTTGGCTTGCAAAGCATTTTTATCATGAATGGGTGTTGAATTTTATCAAATAATTTTTCTCCTTTATTCTCTGTATGTGGTTAAATTACATTTATTGATTTTCTAACATTAGACAGTTTTTATTCCTGAAATAAATTCAACTTGGTCATGGTTTAGTATCCCATAATATAGATATAGTTAATTTACCAATACATCATTTTAAGACTTTTGCAGCTTTCTGTGAGAGTTTACCCTGTATTTTCTTGTGATGTCCTTATCATAATCTTATAGTTACAAGGTTGTGAGGGCCTCATAAAAGTAGCCATGGAGTGTTCCTCCTTTTCATTTTTTTAAATGTTTGTAATATTGCACTAGTGAAGCCATCTGGCCTGGAAATTTTGCTACAGAAAGGTTTTTAACTACAAATTTAATTTCTTTCACAGTCATGGAATTATTCAGATTTTCTAGTTCTTTTGTTTTATGAGGAATTTTATTCAAAAAACTTGTCCATTTCATCTGAATTTTTTAGTGTATTATCATAAAATTGCCAATAATTACATCTTAAGATTTTCAAAATGTCTGTAGGATATGTACTGATAGCTTCTTTTTCTTCCCTGACACTGGTAATACTATATACCATTATGTTCATTTCCACTTTAAAAAAAGGGGGGGATGGAAGGGAAGAAGCTTATGCACTATATGACCCAAACCCACTATCATAGGAATATTCTCCAGCAGAATCACCCACAGGAGCAGCCCAAGTAGAGTACAGTATGGAAGCAATCCAGCAACTCTCTCCCAACGGCTTTTACCACCAGAAACAACTGTAAACCTGAGGAAAGGTAGACACTAACCAAAGAAAGAAACAGGTACTAGTGATGCTGAAGAATGGCCAGCAAGAACTTGGAAGGAAAAAACCACCAGTAAGCAGCATTTGTAACCTAGAAAACCGCGCCCTTCACCCACAAGGTAGAATTCAGAGGCCATGAACTTAACTTTTTCCTCATACATCTTTATTTTCATGAAACTCTAAATGAAATTAGGGATTTCATTTAATTATAAATGTGGACAACAAACCATACTGGTTAGAGCATTTCTGGTGACTCTGTCACCAACCAGAGTCACAGATTCTCTCATAACACAGTGCAGCTGTTGTCAATACTGCAAAATAGCATTTACATGGGCATCACTACTTTGAAATTTGAGACTTATTTGATACAGCACTGAATTTTGTAATTTAATGCATTAATAAAGAAACATAAAGTACTATTACAAATTTGTAGGGGGTGCACTATTTTGATACCTTTATTTCAATATAATTTGTAACCCTGTGCATTTTTAAGTACCTTTTAAAAATTGGCTTCCCCAGACTCCAAAGAAGTCCGTGGACAACAAAAAAAAAAGGGCAAAGAACCCTTACAAGGAATCAGGGATCTTACTCAAGCCAGGGAACTCCATGCAACAATTAAGAAGCATGTCCCTTGGTCAGGCCCTGCACTGGAAGCAGGAGCCACACAGATGAGTAAGGCCCACCCTGATTAGCTCCAATCTTACCTACAGAATTCCCACCAACATTTAGCCACGCATGAAAATGCCTGCTGTCTCTACAGACTTGGCCTTCACCCTAAGTTAATCTATATAACCTACTTCCCAAAGAGGGAGCAAAGTAAACAGCAGAAAAAGCATTAGCTTTGATTCAACCCCAACATTTACTCCTTTGTGGCTCTGGCATCTCCTTAAGCCTTTCTTTCCTCAGCTGTGAAAAGGGCTTCCACTACCTGTCCTTCCCTGTTACTGTAAGGTTCAGAAATAGTGGATTTAAAACACCTGACAAGCACATCCTCCTCATTACTATGAGGTGCATCTTCCAGGTCAGAACTGACTGTTCTTACCCAATGCTTAATCACAGTCAGGTGCCGCCACTAAGGGGGGGAGAAAAATTACAGGAAAGATGGAACATGAAGAATGGAAGGGGAAAAAAATCATATTTATTCTGCAAATACCAGTATAAAACCCACCTACCTCCTCCTCAGGAAAGCCTGCCCTCGCCTCTCCGTGCGTTCCCAGAGAACTTACCACTTGGTAAACGCCTAGCTTTGCAAATGAGTGAATGAGAAATGTAAGTCAGAAAGGGTCAGAAACAATGAGCCTCATCCCCATACAATGCAAAGCACCGAGGATGCCAACTCGCTAGCCTGGCTGCCCTGATCCAAGAGCCACAAAACCATACAGCAGCACATTTCTTAACACCAGTGCCACCCTGATACCTCTCCCGCCCACTCTGGCAGGGATTGCGGGGAGGAGGGCCCATCCATAGAAAGATGCCGCCAAAAGGCTAGATGTAGAAGAAAAAAAAAAGGAAACTGAGTCTGGAGAGTAGAAAGCAATATAAGTCTCTGACGGCGGGGGTCACTGGAGCCCCAACAGTCAGGCACGCGCACTTCTAAGACTGCCAAGGCGACCAGCGTCCTCAATTCCCCGCAACAGGGCCAGAAACTGGGGACGAAGCCGGGGAGAGGGGACGCGGACGGAGGGGGACGTGGACTCGGCCGGCCGGCGGGAGCCCAGCCTTAGGCCCAGGACCCGGGGCGCGGGCGCTGGGCCCCGCCGCCTCTATCTCCACCGCGGGGCCGGGCGCTTCCTCGCTCCGCCCTGGGGCGCGCACGCAGGCAACTGGGATGGGAAACAGGAAGACTCTTTTGCGTTTCTTTTTTTTCCACCGAGTAAACGGAAGCAAAAAGTCAACACCTAACTTCCCGAGGACCCGCGACGGTCACCAAGCTACCAACCTCTGGGCTGTCCCGGGTGGCAGCGGCGGCGGCGGCGATGTTCACGCACGCCCCGAGTTCCCAACAACCCTCTCCGCACCTCCGAGTCCCGGCGGCGGCGGCAGCAGCGGAGGCGCCGGGTTCCCCGGGAAGCCGCCCTCCTTCCCCTGGAGCAGCGGTTGGAGGACCAGCCCGGCGGGGTCTTCAGAGCACGCCCCCGCCGCCGTGCCCGCGCGCGCGCCGCTCCAGGCCGCCGGGCTCGCGGACAGGCGGCGCCCCGGGAGTGGAGGCGAGCAGGCCGCGCGGCTGGAGGGGGCCGGCGGGAGGGCCGCCCGCCTCTCCGCACCCGGAGTGCCCGGCGCCGGCCCGCGGGGCCCCAGCCCCCGCTCACCCGTGGGCTCCGGTGCCTGCGCCCAACAGCGCGGGGACAACACCCGTTTGTGAATTGCAGGCCTCGGGCTGCCGGCCGGTTTGGGAGCGGAAGTCACCTGAAATCCAACCTCAGTGGTCCCCACGTACGTTTTGTAGGCGAAAGAAGGTAGCTTGGGGGGCGGGGGAAGGGCGGGCTTTGCCGCTCGGGCGGCTTCAGGAGCTGGCGGTGTGAACTTAGCCCCGGGAGCCTCCCTATCCCCTTTGTAAAGCGGAAATAAACTTCCCTGCTTTCCTGGAGAATTAAAGTGAAGACCAAAGGGGTCGAAGTTTATGAACTGGAAAGCAACTTACAAAGATGATCGATGCTTTTGAACGGGTTGTCAAAGAGTGGAAGATCTGAAGCTGCTTCAACGGATGTAACTTGGTCAGTGACTTAATGCCAAGTGTTACACAGAGGCCTCCAACGCCAAGCCTGCCAGAATTCCACGGGCTCATTTGAGCTGGAGAATCACCTGGGCTCTTGTTAAAACCACTTGCATCTGGATCCGTCTTCAAACCAAAAGAATCAGACTCTCGCAGGGGCAAGGTGTCTCCGGTGGTTCTATGACCAAATAAATGTGGATAACTGCGTTAGGCTGCAGGAAAACACACAGGCTGTGCCCTAAGTTTATCCTAGCAGTCATTAAAATAGTCCAGGAGATTATTTTTTTCTGATTGCAAAGTTCTCTGGGAAACCATAGTACAAACTCTCTGAAAACAGAAATTATCTAATCTTTCAGCTCCCACTATCCCTAACCACCCCCACCCCGCATAGTTCAGGATGGTGTTAAGTAAACAGGTGTTGATAAACTAGCCCAAATAGGAGTACCAGGTGTAGCAAATAAAAATATAGGCTGCCCAATTAAAACTGAATTTCAGGTGAACAAGTCATTTTTATTAGTATCAGTATGGCCCATGCAGTATCTGGGAATTTTTTTAAAAAGTATTTGTTGTTTATTTGAAATTCAAATTTAATTGGTCATGCATCCTGTATTTGATCTGGCACCCCTCACCCAAAGGTTTTGGCAGAGGGACTGACAGAATAAGGACTCAACTCAGGTAGTGTCAGCCTCAGGGACGCGAATGGGATAACAGCTCCTATGTTATTTCTAAATGACACTATTGGACAATAATGTGGGTTCACTGTCATTTACATTTAATCCCTTTCTACACACACAACATCTTCACTGGAAAACACAAATGAAAAAAGGGCAGATTTCGTCGTAGGTAAAGTAGAAACATCAATTAAAACGGTCAAAATTTAAAAGTAAGCGAGCCTGGGAACTAGGATACAAAGAGTTATTTCTTATACATAGATTAAATACAATTAATAAGAAAACATTAGAAGCCAATTGTAGATGAGCAAAACACATAAATAAACAACCCACTTAAAAAAAGAGCTGGGACATACAATTAGGAAACAAATACACTGCAAAAAGCTCAAAGAAGTGTAAAGTAAAATAACTTCACATATAAAGTGGGCAAAAATGAATAAATGGCATTAAAGGCTGGCAAGGGTGCTGTGTGATGGCACTCACACTTTTTAGGTAGGTAAGCAATTTGGCAGTACCAAACCCCCACAATTATGAGAACCCTTAATGCTTAAACCTTTTGAATTTGAATTTTGGTTATGAGAATAAGTCTGAAAGAAATCATCTATAATGTAGAAAATGCTCCTTATAAAGATTTCAATTTTAATTTATACCATATTAAGGAAAATATACCATAATGTACCAAAATCCACCATAACTGGGAAGGGTAGGAATATCCTGGAAATTCCCTAATTTTCCAAAAATAAAGAAGTGGAAATTAAACTAAAATTTATACACTCTGTGTTCTATTATATATTACAACTTTTTAAAATAATGTTTAGATTTCAAATGTAATATGATCAGAACTAAATTTTTTTTAAAACCTATCCATGGAAAAATAACTGGAAAGGAAATACGGTTAAATTTGGTAGTGGAACTTTATTCTTAATTTTTCTACATTTTTATTAAGCATAAATTAATTTTTAATAGTAAAATCTTAATGTGATACCCCTAAAAAACAAACAGAAGAATTTTTTTTATAATGTCAGATTTACAAACTCTAGAATCTCATTTTGCACAGTCATTTACTGAATGCTGAAACTATCTAAATAGTAAAAGCTCCTTAAAACATTTTCCCTAAATATAAACACCTTAACCATCTCTGCATGTTATCTGTTAACCTAGCATCTATCTTAGCAAATTGTTCTACGTTGAATTTATCAGTTTAGTCATTCACATAACTATATACTAAGTAAAGTAACTTGAATAGTTTTTAAATTAAGCAAATTATACAAAGCCTTAGGTTTTTCTCGCTTCAGATTGCATTCTAAAAGGGGACATAGAAGTTTCTTCTGTATAGCACAGGGAACTATGTTCAATATCTTATAATACTCTTTAATGAAAAAATATGAGAACGAATATATGTATGTATATGCATGACTTGTTCTGTACACCAGAAATTGACACATTATAATTGACTGTACTTCAATAAAAAAAATTTTTTTAAGAGGACAAGATTAATAGTATAGACTTTTTTAAAATTTTTTAGTAGAATAGCACATACCATAACATTTACCATCAAAACCATTGTTAGGTGTACAGTTCAGTAATGTTTAAGTATATTCTCATCATTGTGCAGTTCCAGACTCTTTCCATCTTGCAACACTGAAACTATGCATTAAACAATAACTCCCCACTACCCTAGTCCCTGGCAACCAGCATTCTATTTTCTGTTTCTATGAATTTGATTGCCCTAGGTGACTCATGTAAGTAGAATCATTCTTTGGTGAGTGGCTTATTTAACTTAGCATAATGCCCTTAAGGCTTAGCCTTGTAGCATGTGTCAGAATTTCCTTCCTTTTAAGGCTGAGTAATATTCCATTGTATGTAAATACAATTTTTATCCATTCACCCATCATTGGACACTTGGGCTGCTTCTACCTTTCGGCTGTTGTAAGTAATGCTGCTATTAACATGGGTACACAAATACCTCTTCCAGACTCTGCTTCCAGTTCTTCTGGGTATATACCCAGAAATGGGATTGCTGGATCATATAGTAATTCTATTTTTAAATTTTTTGAGGAAACACCATATTGTTTTCCATAGCCGCTGTACCATTTTACATTCCCAGCAACATGCACAAGGATTCCAGTTTCTCCACATCCTCACCAATACTGTTATTTAGGGCTTTGTTTTTGTTGTTGTTTTTGATAGCAGCCATCCTAATAGCTATTAGGTGATAAATCATGTGATTTTTATTTGTATTTCCCTAATTAGTGATGCTGACCATTTTTCACGTGCTTGTTTGACCATTTACAAGTATCTTCCTTGGAGAAATATCTAGTTGAGTTATTTGCCCATTTTTTAATCAGGTTGTGTTTTTGTTGTAGGAGTTATGACATATTCTGGATACGAACCCCTTATCAGATACATGATTTGCAAGTATTTTCGCCCCTTCTGTGGGTAGTGCTTTCATTCTGTTGGTTGTGTTCTTTGATGCACAGAAATTTTTAATTTTGATGTAGTGCAATTTATCTATTTTTTTCCTTTGTTGCCAGCACCTTTGGTGTCACATCCAGGAAATCACTGCCAAATCCAACGTTATGAAGCTTTCCCCTTAATGTTACCCTGTTTTCTTCTAATAGTTCTGTACTTTCAGTCCTTTAGAGTAGGTGTTTCATCCATTTTGAGTTAATTTTTGTATATGGTATAAGGGTCCAAATTCATTCTTTTGCACATGGATATCTAGTTTTCCCAACATCATTTGTTGAAAAGCATAGATGTCTTTCAAAGGCCAGGTTTTAGAGTGGAAGGTAATAGATGATTGAAGATTAGGTTCCTTCTAGAAATAAGAGGTAAGATAATTGGAGTAAATGTCGGCATCTGAACAGCAGGAGAAACGCTGAGTTTTGGGGGACAGGAGAGAGGAGAGGGTTTCTGTCCTCTCTTCAGTGCTTTACACATAGGCAGAAGTATCTAGCCTTCGAAGGTCTGTGCCTGCCTTAGAGCATAAGTGTCAGGGTTCTGGAACTCCCTAATTTGGAGCTGAAGCGGCCAGTCCAGGGCCCAGACATTGCCACAGCTGCCTTGACTTGGAGGCTTCTGTTCTGACCATTCAAATAAAGCCAGAGAGAATCATCCCTCAAGTTGAGAAGCAACTGAGGCTTGAGTAAATGGACCAAAATTAATGCTACTTGAGATTTAAAAGAGGAAACTAATTTGTGCCTTAGTACTATGTTTCTTTAAAAGCAAAAATATCAAAATTAGCATGTAAATGTGGGTAATTAATGGTCAGTCACTCTTTACACCATTATTTTAATCCTAAAGTCATTAATCAGGCACCTTCACTGGGCCCCACTAACTGAGAGGTTTTCTTTCCGGCCCTCCCAATTAGTGGGGCCTTAGTAGTCTGGCGGGGCCTCCTGTCCAGACAGGCAGCCCTGAGAACCTGGGAGCCACTCTTCAGACTGTAGGACTGGTGCTTAGGAGGGATTAACCAAGCCAACTCTTCTTTATAAATTCAGCTATGACTCATAGAAATTACACAGATTCAACAGAAACACAAATGGTTGTTAAGACTTAATTGATAAAGGCTTAAAGATAAAGGAGTGAATTTCTAATTATGAAATTTCAGGCACAGGCAATAATGAGGAGCTATTTGGAAGAATTCAAGGGCCTTCCCAGCCCTTACCACCTGGCACAGGCTCTCATCTGCCCCATCTTCGAGCATGTTGGCCCTGCTTTGTGATGATTCGCAAGCATCACCGTTGACAGAGCATTTGTCCCGCATCTACTTTACACACAGCACAAATTGAATGCTGGGGAAGATTTCTTTTTTAAGTGAAAAAAACTTCGTTGTCCTGCAGGAAGTTGCAATCTAGCTGGGGATTCATCAAATATACACAAAACAGCTAACAAATAATAAGTATATTTTAAATAACATAATTCAAATTACCCATAAATGCTAAAGAATGAATTCATATCAGTAGCCTAAACTATACAGAGCACAATTCAATGTCACCTCCTCCAAGAAGACTTCCCTGACCACCCCGGCAAAATTATCTCCTGCCCAGTCATTCTCTTT